GTCAGGCAACGAGGAGAAAACACAGTCAGGTTTTCATGCAGATCTTGCTAAGGCCACACTGTGCAAGCTGTAGCATTAACCACCAACCCTACTGCTGTGCAGACCCAGCTCCCTGCCCGGCTGGCATCGCCCTGCAGGCTGAAGCACCACCCCCATATCTGCTCCCCTTGGCCCCTCCTCATTGCCAGGCCCACTGCGATGCACAGCCCCACACAAGCTGGCTCTGCTCCTAACACTGCCTGCTGTGCCCTCAGCCGTGTGTGCTTGGAGTTTGAGACAGGATTAAAGCTCTTCAGCAGCAGAAAAGAGACCAAAGTAGCTGGTTATGAATATTTCTCTTATTTATCATCACAGCCTAGATTAAACACCATTTTGTCTTCCAATCATGTTTTGTTTTCCTTCCCTGTAATCACAGCATCCAATACCCCACACCCAGATTACCAAGAAGTGTGCCTACTGAGAAATTGATTTTCAGTGCTGAGTCCTTGGAACCACCCCAATGTCCTGAGCCTTCATTCTGCCTTTTTCAGTTTTCCCCATGGGTGGGTTGAATGCCAAAGTTCTGTGCTGCTGATAACAAAAGAAGAAGCAGAACCTTTTTCTTCTGTTTCTCGCATCCTCACAATTAATTTTCAAGAAAAAAGGAACAGAATTGCAGGAAAACCTTGCAGAAAAGGACCAGCAGCATGAATGCCTCTGCAGACACCACCAGAGCTGTTAGTCTTTGACTCCTGCTGGCAGTCAGTCTTGTCTAAGCCAGGAATGTGAGCTGTGCACAGGGAGGAGGACATTTTAATTTTGTTATCTGGCTCGCTGGGAAGCACCTTCACCTCTGAAATCAGGAGGTGGCATGTTGTGTACATTGCAATGAGGCTTGGGCACCTGCCCAGAGCTAGCACTGTGCTGCTGAATGATGAAGGGGAACTGTTGTGCTTGGAAAAAGAGCTGATGAATGCACAGTGCATTTCAGAGTACAGGAGACGATGCCAATATTCTGATGTCGACTCTCAAAGCACTCTCTCTGCTTAAAATGCTGAATAAGTTGGACACCAGAGAGATTAAAATAAACGTTCCCAGAAAATTAACAAAGTGTAAAGATATACAAATGCATGGACATAAATAAATGGATATATAAACATCTGTATGTACCTGTAAATAGAAATGTACAGGTATATATACTGCCATATTGATAGAAAGGGAATTGAGAAATGCAAGTACAAAAAAGAAAAGAGCACAGAGCAGTGCATCGTTATTCTGTCTTATTCCCGCTCTCTGCCAAAACTCCTGTAATTTAAACTAAATAGATAATGAAATGAGATCAAACAGATAATGCCAGTCCTGACAGTACTTCTCCAGAGTTCACTATAATACTTTGACACATCTGCTTTAGAAAGGGAAGGTCCTTCTCTTCTGGACTGCATGATGGCACTTACACTGCCATGCCAACAGCTCCTTCAACAGCAGGACAATTTCTTTTATAAGACCAAAAGAAAAGTTGGGTTTACTGTATAAGATACAGTAAATGTACGTATCAGAGATCTAAAAATAAAACATAGGATTGCTTCCTAGAAAAAACCTGAGCCACTCATGAAGGATAGGTCTTTGCATGTTAGTAAGAACCTCTGGCTCATTCACCTTGGTAGTTCTGTTAATATTGTATGAACTCCTTTTTTCTCCACTAAACATAACACCATTTGGGCTAATTCAGGATAGACCTTTTCTATATACATAGCACAGTAAGAAAGAGGACTATCACCCAACTTCATGTGGTTTATGTGCAATGCAGAAACCGTATGATGTTTCCACTACAACACACATTGAGTATGTCTAAACCTCAATTTTGTTGTCACTTTGCTTATTCCCTTAGTTTATTCACATTTCTATATGACCATCTCAGTTTGATTAGTCATAATTATTGGTGCACACTCAAATTCTGGTGGCTCATTTGATCATTCCCCACTAGGAATCAGCAAAAGAATTTCTTAAAGAACTCTGTGCTAACCCGATACCAGGCTGCTTTACCTCACTCTCTGTCTTTCAAAAGGTGATCCCCCTGACCATACTTCCAGGCTGTTAACATTATCTGTTGGGAGAGAGGGAGGTACTGATTGCCTATAGCTCTTTTTAAATTATCTGCTACTGTGAGGACCCAATCTTGCTTGAAGACTGTCAGAGAGATCTCACAACAAATATAAGGATAGTCCAACCACGTGCAATAATGCTATTTTAGCCAACATAATGTATATCTGGGATTGTGTATTGGTACACATACAGAGAGCTGCTGTGGAGTGCCATTTTGCCCTGTGTATGTAGAACTCTAGTCCATAGCCTTATGGTTAGGTATGACAACTCAAAATGAAGAATACAGAGTTCAAAGTCTTAGGGCTTATTACCATCTCCATCTCCCCAACCATCTTGATTTAAAAAAAAACAAAACAACAAAAAACAAATGGAAAAATACTACTAGGTTAATACAGACATGCTAATGAAGCTTTGTTATTATTTTTTAAAACTCATTTATAGTGTTAAACTGTAAAAGTGTTAAACTATGGAAAAGGAACCTGATTCATGGATGCATTAGGAATCTACTCAACTAAAGCCCCTTTTCACAAATTAAATCATAAACCAAGAGTCAAACATGATTTGTGAAATTAACATTTATCGAGGAAACACTCCTCGGTGATGCATCGTGATTAGTCTTTGGCATCCGAAATATCACCCATAATTCACAAGCTCCTCTGAAACGATGCCACTATCGTTACTGTTGAAACGGCAGGCATGATGGAAAGGCGCTGCCACAATCAGAGAGCGATCCCTCTTTTGGTGCTGCTGAGAACCAGAGGTCACTGTGCCTTATTTGGGAATGTTCATGCATCCTCACTTCTCATCCCACACACATCTCAGCCTAACACAGGCACTCTTTTCCACTTCTTAGATTTATCCAAGGCTATGGCTGTTTCTAATTTTAAACAGGGAGGCTTGGCAGCAGCGCTGCATTATGCCCTTTCTTTAAAATAGTGACTAATAAAAAATGAATTACAATTAGGAGTCACTGGCAGTTTCACAGAATCAGTGTCTTTCAGCAGAGGGATTCGGTGCTTTTGTGGGTAGAGGCAGACAGCTCAGTCTTACAGAACCAGGAGCTATGGCACAAAGATGACTTTGTGTGACTGAAAAAGCCTGCTTTGGGGCCCACATATCTAGAAGCCAGGAACTCCAGATACAGGTTAAAGATATGGGATGCTTCCCTTTACAAGGTGATTTTTATCAGGACGATAGCATATCTACCAAGAAATACAGTCATTTTTGGAAGTCTTCCTGTAAGACTATTCCCACTGTTCTGAGCACTAGATATTCGTTGGCTTGGAGCAAAATATGCCCCAAGCCTTTTGGGAGGGCTGAAGGATTACTTAGCTCAGCTATTGCCTTTGCAGGTGTTCAGAGTAAGTAGAAAGCTTCAGTACCTTTATAATCCATCTCCTCACCTCAAGTTGTTGTCCCTCATGTATTCCTACCTTGTTTTCGCCACAATTCCTACCTTGTTTTCACCAAGTATACATTTACCTGGAAAACATAAGCTGCAAGCTGGGTTTATGCTAGTGTCCATGTGTTTATGTGCATGTACATCCAAATTATGGAACATTGAAGTAAACAAGAATATACCTTCTCTCTCACCTAAAAGAAAGCCGATGGCCTGATGTTAGCTTCTCTTAAACCAGAACAAAGTGGTACGTACTCTTACAAATGGTACCAATCCTTCCTTTTCAGGACTAAAGGAGAACATCCTGCCTGTAAGCCTCATGTGTACTAACTGTGTCCTGCACACTGAGCAGACTGCATCAGATCTGGGCCTCTGTTTTCAGCTGGGGCAAACAAGGCTTAATGGAGTCATGACCATTTTTGCCACCGAGAACAGAGCACTCAGTATGCAGCTCAGAGAGCATCTGAGCCAGCCTACACCACGTGCCTGTACGAATGCATTCTGGCAACCCCACTTCACTGCCAATGGCAGGCTCTGCCCCACAGGAGGATGGGGAATCCAAAACAAATTACTGACTGCTCTACTAAACAAACCTTTTGGCACAGAAGCCAAACTTCCTAGAAAAGGAATTCACTGGTCCAGTAAGAAGGCTGGCTGAAAAGTCCACGAGGGATTGTTGCTGTCATTCAAAACGCTTTCTTTGGGTAAACAGTTATTCCCTTCTTGCATTGTGACATTGTGGAGAGGTCACTGAAGGATGCTGGTTTTTAAAAATTGTTTGATTCTTTTAAACACTCTCTTCTACTTGCAATAACCTGCTAAAAAGATGAAAATAACATTGAGTTTCCTACTGGTTTGCCCTTTTCCATTTGGAGAGCATTGATTTTTTCCCTGTTGTGCCAAGATTAATATGGCCTGTTTGTTTGACAACAGATTCAACATATCTAGTGCCCTGTCAAGCTAAAATGACTCTGTCTGTGGACAGCACCCCTGCCTGGCACTGAAATGATCTGAAAAAAGAAGGCTTTGCTAGTTAACTGTCACTGCAAAACCATGAGGACATTTCGGTAGCCTTTAAAAACAAAAATTGTTGTTGATAGTATATTTAAAATATTGCTGGCAAGCATCAAGAGATCCAGTGAAAACTATTAGGCAAGTGAAGATATCCAAATTATTCACTTAACAGTCTGTCATAGTTTTGATTGCAAATGTTTCCCTATAGTACAGGTACAAATCTTTCTCCCCTCTCGCTGTTTGATAGAAAACATTGTTCTCTCTCCTCCATTTTAAGTAGAAAAAGAAACAGCATATAAGCAAAGTACAGAGAAGAAAAGGAGAAAAGCCAGTAAAATAAGGACTGTTTCTTCCTCATTTAAGTATCAGATATGGACACCAGATAAGAGTGAAAATACACCATGCTCCGCTCTTGGAAATGCCAGCAAGGTCCAAAACCCCTCCTCTCCCTCCCATCCTTCCTCCTTCCCTTCCCCTTTCTCTGGCAAAAGCCAGTAATACCTACAAATATTTTTTATTTTCGTAAACGTCATGCAGCTTTAAAACATGGGGATGCTCTATCAACTTCAGGATGGCTATTTCCCGCTCCACCTGGAAAAAAAAACAAACAACAAACAGAAATACAGAAGATTAGAAGCTAGATATTGGAATGCATCATATATCATAACATTCTCTTCCCACTTACCTATTTCCCACTCCTCTTCATATGCATAGGAATCTTCAACTTACAGCAATATTTAGCACTAAATAAAGTATTTTTTAAAAATTACGTGGTTTTAGCACTCCCTGCAGTGGAGTGCAAAACTGGCAACATTTTGAAGTTGAAAGAAGAGTCCCAAACCTATTAGTCAGTGTCAGGAGCTCTAGGAGCATTTGAAGCTACAGCTTCCTCACTACCCAAAGCCCTGACATGCTCTCAAAGTACAGAAGCTCTGACATGGCACTCAGGGCTCTCTGACCTCTCATGTGCATGAGTGGCCACATTGCATTACGCACTGCATGCTCCATTGACATGAGAAAATTCCCATCCTGAAGAACTGGCATCGTATGTAGGAGAAAAGAAGGGCAGAAGAGCATTGTTATTTTGGAGCTGCAGAACTGAGGCACAGAAAGAGAAAGAAATAAAAGAGGTGACATAAGAAGTACAAGGTGCTATAAGAAATTAAACCCAATTACTGGAGCTTTGGTGTTCAGATCCTTAAGCGTAAGACCTTGTTTTCTCTCAATTCCCAATCTGCCCAAGCGCAGCTACTTCTAAGAGCGTGTCTTCAACACTGAGTTAATAAGTTGTGACTAAGTCTCTGTAATTAGCACAAGTCTTGCTCTTACCCAAAATTCCTACCATGACTGCAGTGTGGTTTTAACTTGAAATTACTAAGGGTATTCATTAGAGATGAAGTCAGAGCAGCTCCTCAGCTGCTAGCAAAATTGCTCAGTGCTGCTCAAAGCCACACTGTGACTGCTCTGATTTGACCTAGGCTAACTTGAAGGGAGTTAACATAGCACTGTGGAGTCTGTAGATAACTGAAATAAACTCTGCAACAGCATGCAGTCTAAGCAACACAGAAATTTCCAGGAATCCAAAAAGCCAAGACAATGCCCTAAAGACAAAAACAAGAACAACTACACAGGGCTTTTTTTTTTTCAGTTCTTCAAATAAATGATTGTCTTGAAGTTGCTATCCTAACAATCCAAACATGAGCAAACTACAAAAGCATCCTTGAACATTTCCTCAGCAGGGCTCAGACAAATAATTAGGAACTTGTTTCAGTATAGCCTTAGTTCTTGATGTCATTTAATTTCCTGAGATATCATCCTCTACTAAACCAGAACACAGGCAACTTTCTTTGAGTGCTAGTAAGATGCTCAGCAGGAAATTAGAAAGTACTAGTTTTCCAGCAATAAAAAGGGGAGGAGGATCTCCCGGCACACTGGCTATCACCACAGATCTCTCTTCCTCAATACTACCACACAAAAGCATCACACTTGGCTTTTCTTATGTATGGATGGAGAAAAGTGTGCTTTTTCATGTGTCAGTCTTATCCCTTCAAAGAGATCTGCAGACTCAAAAGAGAGAGCCATCTCCACACTCGTGATCTCTGGAAACAGCTACTACAAAGAAATGAGGAGAAGTGTATCAGGAGGCTCTACTGGAATTGTGTACATGCATCAGCATGTAAACATACCAGCACACAGCATTTTCAGAAATAGTATGAATTCAGAGATACACAGCACCTGATGTTGACAACTCTGTAGGCATAACTGGCTCATGACCAGCACTCAGATGAAAGCCACTCATACAAACAGGAAACAACCTGAATAGACCTCAACTGAACAGCTACTCCACTGAAAAAAAATGGCAGGAGAGCTAGTCTATGTAATTTTTACCTCCTCTTCAAAAAAACTTGTTACTCATTTACCCTATGGGATACAGTGACAGATACACATTTGCAGAGAGCTCGCTGAAGTTGGACTTGCTTCAAGGATGAGGAAAAACAAAACAGAAAAAGTGTTTCCTCTCACAGCTCTCCAATAGTAATCAAATTCAGACATTAGCATTGTGCACCATAACTGCTCAGAAGCTGAAGTTTCCACAGCACAGTTCTCTTTGGGTGAGCGAGACCGGATAAGTCCAGGGGAACATGACCACTGCACTAGCTATGACTGCGGTCTTTCAAATCCATTCTCCATCCTGTGAGTTTCCTGCCACTGTACAATAAAACTCCCTGTACATGTGCTGAATGACTGCACTGGAGATTCACTTCCGAAAAACCTCTTGGTGGGTGCTTTGGCAATGAACATCCAGACCAAGTAAATGATGGATAGCAGCATCCCAGCAGGGTCCTGCTTGGCTACTGTCCTAAAGCGAGAGATGAGGCAGTGATTTACGAGTACTGCTCAGGGAGGGGGATCCAGTTACAGCACTGCATGGCCTGTGTTCAGTAAGAGAAAACCAGACAAGAAAGCAAATATCTACTTATTACATACATACTTAGTCTACAAAGCTATTAAAAGGAAATAACCCAAGTTCCTTTACTTCCAGCTCTTTAAGTGTAAGAGCGTACAAGATCCTACACATATTTTTACCTTCCTGGAAACAAAAGTCCCCAGAGGAAATACAGTTTCAAAGGTCTTGACTTCAAGCTCAGGTATGCAGAAAACATCCAGCTTGGCAGTGCTTGGCAGCACTGCCCTGCAATGTATTCAGCTATGTGCTGCACTTCCTCAGCCAGCTTTCCAGCCTACTACTTATTTTCTATCTGTAAACCAGGGATAAAACCAACCTACCCTTCCAAGTGGGACCTATAGAAGCCTTCAGTGAGAAGGAGCTTTACGAAGGAAAAGTGACTGTACTTCTCACTGTCTGGGCCCACTGACTGTCATGGTTTTGTAATTTTTGCTATTGGTATTCCACGTCGTAACACCACGCAAAGCACGTTAACTAGATCAATCTGTGCCCAGGACATTGACAAAACACGGGTGGCTGTACTGCTTCAACAACGAGAGACTCCCAGGTCCCTGAACAGCCAAAATGACCTTCCTCAAAAATCTGACAGCAGTGCCCCATCTCTTCTCTCTTCCAAAGAAATATGAGGGTTCCCAAAAACCTGCAGCAGACCACCTTCTCAAGGCAATAATTGCAGCTTTTGTCTTTGGATGACTCTTTTGGTTCCTTTTCTCACCAAGAAGCCAGGAACTGTGCTGGATACGGACTGCAGATCTCACTAGCAACTTTACTGATGGCACCAAAGGAGAGGTATTACTTTTTTACAAAATAGAAGAGGCCTGATAAAGCAGGCAGCTTTGCCTTCTTCCCTAAAGCTCTGGCAGCTATTGCCATGCCTGTTTTTGTGCACTCCTGTGCTTTCAGGCTGCACAGTGCTGTCCAGCTCAGAACTGGCAAGGACGGGAGAGCATAGAAACCCTGCAGGGGTGTTTGCTTTAATGCAGAAGCAATTATCAGAAAGCAGGCCAAACTCAGAATAGCCCGTCTGGGGAGGCTCAGAGTCTGTGATAAACAGCATACATGGAGAAACATCTGCATAGTAGTTTTAAAAAAGAGGAAAAATAAGAGGAGCCCTCTGAATCACACAGACACCAGGGCATGCGATGGGATCCCAGCAATAGTCTGGGCTGCCTCATACCAGAGCAGGTTACTGACTGTGCAGCACACCAATGCCTTGGAGCTAAAAGGAAAAGCAGTGAAAGTCTGTGCAGGGCAAATGCAGACACACTGCTAACTTGTAACTGTGCAGGTGCCAATTAGAGGCTTTAAAAATCTATGCAGGAGGCTGATTTGACAGGATGCTCCAGTGATTCAGCTAATGACGAAGAGCAACATGAGGGCAACGTGACCCTTAGAGGAATACTGCAAAGCTCCACTTCTTCTCTGCCGCCTCTACTTCACCCTCCTTCTCTCCCAGAGGAATCTGCCTTGTTTAAACCCATCTCATCAGCACAGTTTCCACTGCTGACAAGTGCTCTGCTCCCTCGCCTTCCAAATCACAGACAAGCGGGGTGCAAATTCACCTACAAAGCAAGGAGAGCAGATGGAGGGAGCCACATGCGTCATCTTCATCACATATGTCTCAGTGATGAAGAAAGGTTCCTTTCTTCTTGTATCCACATTCAAAAAGGTGTCCTGGCTGGTGAGGAGCAAGAAAGTCCTGCAGGCTGTACATTTGCTGTGAATTTTTCCTAATGGGCAAAACCAAAAGTACCAGATAGTAAGAAACCAATCTCTTCCAGTTCTCTGGAAAGTCTGCATTTTTGCCATACCAGTTCACATTCTGTGAACAGACCTTAGAATCTTCCTACTTTTGCTACCATGAAGCATATGTGGGTCTGGAAGTTAAAAATCATAAAAAATTACTTGCTTTGGTGATGACCAAAGTTTTCATGCTTTTCCATGATAGCAGAAAAAAAAAAAAAAAAAAAAAAAAAAAAAAAAAAAAAGACTATTCTTGAGAGAACAGCATTAAAACAGAAATAGTTTTATACAAGTAACTGCAAACCTAGCATGTCCTGTGGGGTCACTGCTGTGGGGATATCATTCTTCCAAACTAACTTAAATCATTACAATAATGTAAGCAATATCACGTTGGATTACTTGTATCATTACTTTCAATGGAAACATAAACAGGCTAGAAGTGGAAAAGAACAGTTTTTAAATGATGAAACATTACAAGATCTTCCTCTGCAGCTCTGAATTTAATTGATATCTCACTTAGTGAAAGTAGCCTTTATTACATTTATCCCAAACTTCTTCAGCAGGCCATTACAGAAGCAAATGGAGAACCACAAAAGTTGGCTACCTACAAGAGAGCATTTCCTGCTGCTATTTTAGCCATTAGCTTCAAATTTCTGAATATAGTGAGCCAGATTCAAAGTGTACTGAAGTCAACAAAAGACATCAATTGACTTAAGTGGGCTTTGAATCAGACCTTCTAATGATCATTAAGTGGTATCTGGAAGAAATCTTCTATTACACAATTTTGACTAATTAAATGCTTTAACATGAATTCAGGTTTTCTGCTAAGTACTGGTAATTACGAGAAGATTCTATAAAAAGAGGATAAATGTGGAGGGGA